ATGAACAATTAATTGAACCTTCTTCAAAACAACAATAAAATCAGTCACTAACAACACTCATTAGCTAATTAACGTATTAAACTACATAATCACACCCTAAGAATGGGGATTTTAGTCAAATATAGTAAACGACAAGAAATCGTTACCAACAAAGTTTTCCATCAGATTTGACAACGAACCACAAGTCTCCAACTGCTATAAATCAAGCTTAAAGTCTCAAGATCCCTAAATCTCTACTCAAATATGTAAAAACAATGTTATAGAATGTAAAAACTCAAAAACCCAAAAGTGAACAATGTAGGAACTCGTGGGAACTCTCTCTTCTTTATAAAACTGCATTTAACATTTCAGTACGGAGTCAACTCGGTGAAGTAAGTCAGACTCGCCAAACAGGTCGACGATGCACCGAGTGCTCCTCTTATCACCTTATTGGCATGGTTTTTCACCAATATTTCTATAATATTCAGTGAGCTAGGCCGGCATCACCGATCTCTTTCGGTGTTTCACTGAATCACTTGTCTGCTCGCCATCCATGGACTGACATGCTGGAACTTTCGGCGAGCTAAAGGTGCACTCGGCGAGTTGTCGAGTGGCTTTAGTGAGGAACACCTTTGCTTTCCTTCAACTTTTTCAGTTTTTTCGCCTATTTTCCTCGTAATGTCATTTCCTTACTCTTTCACCTTCATTGTTGCATATTAACATTTTAACATCAGTTATGAGTATAAAATAGACATTGAGGACACTAAATCCTTGAATACTAAGCCCTAAATGAGTCGAAATCTCTGACTCATCAAGACCTTGGAAAGACATTTATCTTCAATATAGATCTAGAGCCACAACCAGCAATATAAAACATGTACAAACCCATATGTCTATCATTCTTTATTAATGTGGGATGTATTTTTTTCCCTCTCATTCATTTGATAGCTAATCACAAAGTTACTTGGATCATAGGAAAACTCACCAGCCTCAATAACGCTTTCAATCATATCGTCTTATGAGCAATTGCAATAAAACATAATGGGCACAATCATCTTACTAAAAGAGTTTAAATTTCTTCTTTTAGGTTTCTCCTTCCATACTCCCACATAATCAACACAAACAACAGTAAATTTAACTACTATCATATTATATATATATATATATATATATATATATATATATATATATATATCACACTAAGATATACTAGATTATGGTATATGTATTTAGCGGGTCAATGGTTGTTATAAAATTCATACAAAATGTGAATGAACAAGATAGAATTCAAATAAAGCTTCTGGAATGGAGAACATGTATCTATGTTGTAACACCTTGGATTTCAGAGAGAAAAAAAGTTGCAGGATTTTTTGTTAACTGGTTCAGGTCTCATCAAAATATGGACAAAATTCAGGTTTTTGAACGTTTCTACGATATACCAAGAAGACATATCATTGGTCCAAACTGTATGAGGGTTCGACTGTTATTTTTTAAAGGTGTTTTTTCGGATCTTATCCTAAATATTTTAGGCCTATAGTATGTCATGTTGGCGTCTATCCTAAGCCCTATATAAAGATTTTAAGTCCTAAACTTGCCCACTAAAACCCATTCTCCTATTTGCCCAAAATCCAACCAAATTCAGTCTCCCAAAATTCCCTCTCAACCTAAGGAAGAAGAAGAAGCTAGGGTTCATCTTGTACTTTCAGTAGCAAGGATGTGGGTATTCACTCATGGAGTCCATTCCTTCATGGGACCCCAAGATTTTTAGGTTTCTCAATTCAATTCTAATTGATAATATTAAGGTTCTCCATAATTCTCCATGGGTTCTATTCAATTCTAATTAGATTGTTGTTTTTTGATCTTCTATTTCATGATTTAATGAAATTACTTGATATTGAGTTAAAGTCATATGAACCCATGCGTGATCTGTGATTTTTTAAAACTATGAACTTGTGAAGAACACATGAACTTATGAACTATGGTTTTGAAACGGCATGCCGGTCTTATGAGAATGATGTTTATGATGATAGGGTGATTTTTTATGGAAGTATCAATGTTATTGTGAAATATTTTCTCATATAGGAATATGATCATGATTGTAAAAAGTCAGGTTGTTTTCTTACCTATGCTTTAATTTCTTATTTTAAAGAGCTATTCTATGTTTTGGTTTTAAAGATGTTCATTAGTATTGATCATCACGTTATAATGATATTTTACTTTTTATATTTCGTTGGGATTTTAACTTAGCATTGAGAGGGCTTGAGGTGGAGGCTCAGATAGAGTAGTCTCTAGTTGCAACCTCTAGTGCCTTACTACATGTCCCCGTAGGATTTTCTTAAATGATCTAGCTATTGGATCCACTTTATCAAAAGATAATTTTTACGGATTCTACCTTGGCAAGTAGATTCCCTTTCTTTCGATATGAGGGATAGACTAAATTCCATGTTATAGCTCATATTGTCTTATTATCGGTTAAGGGTAATATCCCACAGAATGAATTTTTTTCCTTAAAATCTTTCCCATGTCTCTTATTTTAAATATATTGACCATATCCTATAATTCATACAATGTCGCTTCTTTAAGCTATTGAATTCAAATGTTGGTCATGCATTACATGTTTAAGTCATGCTATCATATCTATTTTATGCATATTGCCTCATAATTAGTATTTTCCATGTACTAATTAATACTTGTGCCTACATTGTCTCTTTAATGTAGTGTCCAACTCTCTTACCTCTTACACTCGTGGCTAGTTGATCATTCTACCTGATTCAAGAGTTTGAGTGTCTTCATATTCTGAAGACCGAGACACACTACAACATTTTAGGCCTACGGGCAAACTAATTCTGGACAACGCTTGTAAAGTGTTGCCTAAAATACTTTTGGGGACACTTTTAAAGCGTAGCCCATATTTTTAACTTTTAGTTTCAATAATATTGGCAACACTTGCAAAGTGTACTCTTTAATGGTATAAGCTACACTTTATAAGCGTTGTTACAATATGATATAATTGGCAATAACTATTTACATTTATGGACACACTTTTAAAGTGTCCTATTTTTATAATTGTAAAAAGAACACATTACAAGTGTGGCCTTAAAATTTTCACTTAAATATTATATTTCCTCCAACATTTTTAACTCTCCCTCCCATTTTTATTGGGCAAAATAATTCATAAAATATTAAAACTTTGTTTTCCCCAAATCAGAAAAACACGCTTTTCTCTACTGAACTGAAGAACACTCGTTACTCTGTTGAACTGAAGAACACGCTTTTCTCTGATGAACTAAAGAGCTGACGCTAAGTCTCTTCGTCATAGATAAACGTAAGCTAAGTCTCTCCGTCACGCTTTTCTCTCAGATTTCTCGCTGAAGAACACATTTTCTCACAGATTTCTAGCTGAAGAGCTTCTCGATGAAGAACACGATTTCCGTCATAGTTCTCGCTGAAGAAGATGATTTTGTTAGAATAGGGTTTATCAGGTAAGAAATTCTATCTTTGAAAGTCTAAATTTTAGCTTTACGGTTTTGATATTCTTGTATTTTGTATACGATTTTTGGGGGTCTAGCTCGTATTTTAGCTTCATCAATTGATATTTGGGAGTGTAGCTCATATGTTAGCTTCATCAACTGATTCTTTGCCCTTTCTGTTCTACATGTTAAAGTTAAATGATGTTGTTCCAACTTGCCTGTTCTAGATCTGATTCAACTTGCCTACTTTAGATCGTGTTAAGAACTTGGAAATTAAACTGAATAGCTATATGGTCTTGTTAATAGAACCATTTCAATTTCACTCTAAAAAGTCATTAGTATTTGTAAGCAAAGAAGAATCGTCGTGCAAGCCATTGTCTTGTTTTAGAACATTGTGTCTGCACGTTATTGAGTAAATTTCACTTTGGCTTGGAGTGATATTATGTTGAGTAGATAGGTCTGCATAATGTTATGCTGATTGATATATGATGATATCTGTGTATGTATTATTCTATGGCAGATGGATCTGATAGCTAAGTTAAGTCATCCATATATCGTGGAGCACAAGGATTCTTGGGTCGAGAAAGTATTATGTTATTCAGAACAGGATTTGGAACTGAAATGACTATTAGTAGTTCTGTGTCTTGGTAAGTAGTTTACCACCGTGTTGCCAAACTGTCACTTATAGTCACTTGTTCTGAATGTAGACGTCTTGTTCAGATATTTCCCCTCTCCTAACATTCTCTATTAAGTTCTTTATAGGATATATCGATGAAGGTTAATGCACATTTATTTCAGTTGGCTTCTTTACTTTCGGAGATTGGATTGAACATGAAGAAGCTCATGCTTTCTCAACAAAAGCCGGTTACTCCTTGGATGTCTTTGTGGTTGATGGTTGGGATAATGAGGTACTTATTTAGATGATATATAAATTGAGCTACTTCATCTTGATATATCTTCATATTAGTATCGACATTCTGTCTGCTTTGTCATTGTTAGGAAACTGATCAGCTAAGAAGTGTCCTGTTAAGGAAATTTCATATATGGAGGTGAAATTCATTGACAGACTCAATGAAATGCTGAAACAGCCAGGGTTAAATCAAGACCTTTTGTTCCCCAAAATGAAGTTTGTACAAACTGGAATCAACATCACCAGGAACCATGTAGATATACCAAGCAACCGGAGTGAAGCACGGGAAATCGCCAATGCACTACTGAATTATGAATATAAAATTGCAACTGGCTCAACTGGTGATTTGTCAGTAAAAATGTCAACTTTGAATCAAGAATACAATATAGTCACTAATAGTATCCTAGATTAATCGTATTTGTAGGTATAAAGGTTCATTCCATAATTAGGAAGTGGCTATTAAGGCTCTAAAGTCTCAGTGCCTAAATGAAGATCTGCAAAGAGATTTTGCTCAAGAAATTTATATATTTAGGTGACTAAACCTTGATGTTTTTTCTTAGAACGACAACATTATGTCCTGTTTGGTTGCTGCAATTGTGTGTGTCAAAGAATGTTGTGCTTTACCTGACCTCTTTCTGGTACTTACTGGGTTGTCAATTCCTTTGGATCATAACGTTCTATTCTACACAGCTTCCTGGTCCAAACTATCACTGTCGTGAGGTAAAAGCTATGCTCATTAATAGTTTTTTTTAACTTTTTTGTTCTGCTATCTGTTAGTTGTGCCTCAGCTTACTTAATATCTCTTTTGGAAAAACCTGAACTAACTTTTTTCCCCTGCAAATTACCAGGGTTCAAAGCTTGCCACGCTTCCTCCTCCTGACAACATTTTACAATCACTATTGATTGGTAAGTTGCATTTTCCTTCACTGATTGCTCCTCCTAACATCTAAAGCATCACATTCTTCAATTTAGAAACTCATGTGAGTTTTATGACTCTGCAGTTCCTCGTGGTGTGCTTTATGGTTGTGGTGATCTATACCAAATTGGGGGGGGGGGGGGCTCCGATTCATATATATATTATGAGTTAATTTTGTCATAATATATTTTTTCTAAAGGTATTAATCTTATGAGTTCTTTTATATTTTCTAATATATATTCTATGTACTGTATGTCGTGAGTTTGTTGGAATGCTTCTATGTTTTCTTTGATTAAATTACTTAATAAAGTAATATCTATTATAGTTTGTTGCCAATATTGTAAGTATTTTTGTTTTATCATTAATCTGAATATTAAATTTCTAAATCACTTAAGTTAAATTCTGGAATTTCATCTTCATACCATAGATCATTTGTTATGCATATGGTATAAGGGAATTATGATTAAATAATCATGAATATCTTTTTACATGATGAAATGATATTAAATTACAAAATACTAATCTTGTATGTATTAAGAAACATAGAAATTACGGAACTAAAACAAATGATATGGCAGCTGATTTTTGAAGAAGAAGAAGAAGAATTAATGAACCAACTATGGTATGAAGATGAAATTCCAGAATTTAACTTAAGTGATTTAGAAATTCAATATTCAGATTAATGATAAAACAAGAATACTTACAATATTGGCAACAAACTATAATAGATATTACTTTATTGAGTAATTTAATCAAAGAAAACATAGAAGCATTCCAACAAACTCACGACATACAATACATAGAATATATATTAGAAAATATAAAAGAACTCATAAGATTAATACCTTTAGAAAAAATATATTATGACAAAATTAACTCATAATATATGTCTTTGTGCGGACATACCAGAAATATGGAACACGAAGGTACTACAGTAATAATGATTTGAATTGACTTTTGACATCTCATAATCATTTGAATCTTAGGATGGTAATGGAACTACGCAAATCATGCATTACTTGGTGGGGAGAGGAGTTCAGTGTGAATTGTACTGAAAGTGCTTAGCCTAATTAAGCAGGATGGCACACCAACACTTTCATCCTTCCTTTTGCTGCATTTTCTCCTCTTCTTTCAATCATTTACCTGGAAGATATGTCTTCCTTGGGTTCTGTGAGTTATCGTTGGGAAGGGTTTCTTTTCAACTTTTTCATAATTTCATGGTACCACGACAAAAAGCTGCTTTGTGGGGTACCTATATCTTATGTGTTAGTTGAGTGATTAGAACTTTCTGATTCCTTCACTTAGGTTGCATATATATATATTTTATCAAGTGGCACAACTTGTATTTGTCACTGATTGCTTGATTTTATTCTGCAGGTTTATGAAAAAGTTTGCTTAGTTATCTGTTATTGCACAAAGCTTTTTGATTATTGCATCACGCAAGCATTACATTGTTGACGTTGTTGTAGCATGGTGAGTGATGTTTTTTTGCTTGATGCACTCCTCAGCAGATTATTGTTATTGTGACCACTTGATTGAGCCATGTTACTTTGGTACAGGTACACCGTCAATCTTGTAGTCTTCTTCATTGATAAAACATTACCAGGTTAGTTATCAATTCTAAATTTATCTTCAGAAGAATCATTTCATCTATTTTTAGTCCCTCCACTCTCTCCTTCAAAATTTGGTTATCACGCAAGAGGAATGTTAAATAGCTGAAGCACTGAGGTCTTCCTTGCAGAACTGCCTGATCGCACTAGTGCCTTGTTGCTTCCAGTGACTAAGGATAGAAAGTCCAAAGAAGAGAATCACAAACTGCTGAATGGAAATTCGGGAGATCCTGCCGAATGGATATAGAGATTTATGCATTTTCCATCCTAGGGATTATAGCTTTTCTGTCACTATTGTAAAAAAATTTATACATTATATTTGATTTTGTGAAATATATTCATTGCTAGAATATATTGAACTATTGTAAGAGTACTTTTTGAACTATTGTGTACACATATTTAGAATATTGCTTTATAAGTATGTGTATGTACATAAAACATACTATCTTTTGAAGTTTATTCTAAATATATATATTTGAATTACTTATTAGTTAATTTAATGCTTGAGATTATTTATTGCAAAACAATATTGGTGTTTTTTAATTAGAAATTGTGGCATATAAATATTTTATAGCCAAAATAATATTACCACGCTTAAAAGTGTAGCCAAAGGATTGTAAATTTTTGTATGCACATGGGCAAGGACTACACTTCAAAGTGTTGTCATACATAAGATAGAAAAGGCAACACTTTAAAAGTGTGGGCAATAAGGAAGCAAAGGCCACACTTTTTCATAGTTTAGGCCACACTTTTATAGGGTGGTTGTAGACATAAAAATTTGTAGTGACACACTTACTTATTTTATGTCTTTTATTTTTTTAGATGATGTATGTGGTGTACGGGTTATATCTCAACCACTCCTTTTGATATATAGATGGCTTGTTAAGATTATGTGAGACTTCCTCTATGTCAAACACTTTTTTTATATGAGATTGTCACTTTTATAATCTTATTTCTATTATCTTGTATGATGTATACAAAGTGGCTTGTGTAGGATATTTCGGGGTTCTATATGCCATGTTACACCTAGGGTATACTTTTTGTCATGACAAACTTGGTTTTTCAGAACACAAGGTTTAGAAAGATCCTAGGAGGTCTCACAAGCCACGTCGAGTAGAATTTTGTTCATGAGTGTGAAATGCATCACACTTATGAATAAAAGGCTATAAGATGTTTAGAAAATCCCACTTCTTTCATCATTCTAAATTCATGCAATAGAGTCTAACTCTATATGTCTATCTCCTAATCCTTAATCGATGTTTTTCAGGATATGGCCCCTCGAAGAGCATACATTAGAAGGAATGCGAATGAGAATGTGAAACAAGAAGCTCCTCAATTTACGGATGATCCTTTGGCTGAACAAGTGACTAATGTGGAGTTCCAAGCTAAATTTCAAGTGTTGGCTCAAGCTATGATGACTCAAGACAAAAGAGAGGCTAATTCTCCCGTGAACCCAAATGGGAGGTATGATGAGAACTATAGTGAGGAACTTCACTATAATGAATCCACTATAGTTTTATGGTTCTAAATTTTAGGATGATCCTTAAGAGTTCATTGATGAGGTGTATAAGTTCTTGATAATCATAGGAGTGACGCTGGTGGAAATGGTAGAATTGGCCCTTTATCAACTTAAGGAGTTGCTCAAGTTTGGTTCTACTAATGGAATCAAGAAAGGGCGGTTGATGCGGGTCCTCTTGATTGGGAGAACTCTAAGTGTGCTTTCTTGATAGGTTATTTTCCCTTGAGATGAGGTAGGCAAAATCACTTGAATTCATCAACCTTTGTCAAGGAAATATGAGTGTGAAGGAGTATGCGTTGAAGTTCACTCAATTGGCTAGGTATGCGCCAACTATGGGCGCTGAATCTAGGGCAAGGATGAGTAAGTTTATTTCTGGTGCATCCAAAATTGTTGTTAAGGAAGGTCATATTGCCATGCTCATTAGAAAAATAGTTATTTCTCATTTGACGAAACATGCCCAACAAATTGAAGAGGAAAAACATAAGGAAAGGTCTGGGGAGGTAAAGAGGGCAAAGACAAGTGATGGTGACTTTTCCATTTGCAGTCCGATAGAGATGGTTGTTCTAGGTTCCGACAAAGGTTTTCAGTCAAGGTTCTCTCATGATTCAGCTCCTAAGTTCAAAAAAGAAATGGTGTCTAACTCTAAGCCTCAAGGAGGAAATGGTGGTGGAAAGGGTCTTTTGTTCTTACATGCCAAAAGTGTGGCGAAAGTCATTCGAGAAAATGCTTGATGGGTATGGATAAATATTTTAGTTGTGGTACAAGTGGTCACCACTTGGGAGATTACCCATCTACAATTGATAAGGGAAAATATGGTAGGTAAGCTCCGCCTAGTGGTTTAGGTTCCAGTGCTCTAAAGAAAAACTCATTTTATGCACTTCAAGCTCGACATGATCAAAAGTTTCTCCTGATATTGTTACTGGTATGTTAAAGTTCTTTTCATCTTGATTTGTATGTGTTTATTGATCCTGGTTCTACATTGTCTTTAATGATGTCATATGTGGCTACAAGATTTGATATTTCTCTGGATGTGTTCTTAGAACCTTTTTTTGTCTCTACTCCTATTGGTGAATCTATTGTGGCAAAGAAAGTCTATAGATTTTTTTCCCATCTCCATAACCCATAGAGTCATTCATGTTGATATTGTAGAGCTTGATATGTTTGATTTTGATTTTATTCTTCGTATGGACTAGATTAATTATTGTTATGCTCCTATGATTGTAGAACCCGAGCGGTTAAATTTCAATTTCCTAATGAGCATGTCCTTAGGTGGAAAAGGGAAAATTCTATGCTAAAGGGTCAGTTTGTTTCTTGTCTAAAAGCTAGGAAAATGATTTGTAAGAGTAGCATATACCATCTTATTTGGGTTAGGGATACACATTCTGAAACTCCTACTCTTGAGCCGTTCCCCATTATAAATTAATTTCTAGAAGTATTTCTCGATGGTCTACCCTGTATTCCTCCCGAAAGGGAAATACACATCGGTATTGACCTTCTCATAGATATGCAACCTATCTTTATCCCTCCTTACTGTATGGCTCCAAGGAGTTAAAGGATCAATTAAAGGATTTGTTGGATAAGGGTTTCATTCGATCGAGTATGTCTACATGGGGTGCTCTAGTTTTTTTTTTTTTGTAAGTATCCTCTTCCAAGGATTGATGATTTATATGATCAATTCTAAGGAACAAGTTATTTCTCTTAGATTGACCTCCGGTCGGGTTTTCATCAATTCAGGATGAAAGAGAGTGACATTCTAAAGATGGGTTTTTGAACTCAGTACGGTCATTATTAATCATTATATTGTCTTTTGGTTCTACTAATACTCTGGTCGTATTCATGAATTTGATGAATAAAGTGTTTAAACAATATCTTGATATGTTGTGATAGTGTTTACCGATGATATCTTGATTTACTCTCGTAGTGAGGATGAGAATGTCTATCATTTCAGGACTATGTTACAAATTTTTAAGGTTCATCTTGGGCTTTGAGAAAAGTGATGCATGTCCGATGAGAATGATGTTTATGATGATAGGGTGATTTTCTATGAAAGTATCAATGTTATTTTGAAAGTTTTTCTCACATACGAATATGATCATGATTGTGAATGGTATTTCTCACATATGGATTCACGTTGGTGAAAGGTTTTCACACCTATGCTTCTATTGTGTTTTAAGGAGCTATTCTATGTTTTGATTTTAAAGATGTGGATTGGTATTAATCGTTGTCTTTCCTATGTTATAATGATATTTGACTTTTATCTATTCCATTTGGATTTAGACTTAGCAGCGAGAAGACCCAAATAGGTTAGTCTTTAATAGCAACCTCTAGTCCCTAATTATGTTCCCCGATAGAATTGTCTTAAATAACCTAACTAGTTGATCCACTTTAGAAAAACATGAACTGTACGGATTCTACCTCGGCAAGTTGATTCCCATTCTTTTGATATAAGGATACACCAGATTCTATGTTATTGCTCACATGGTGTTTTTTTTTGGCTAAACCTAATATCCTACAAAACAAATATCACTACAAAAAAACCCCAAATTGCCAACAAATTTTACTAACAACTTAAGTTGGTTAGTATTCTACTAACAAATTACCAACATATTTCTAACCGAATTATATTTTAAAACTTAACAATGAAATTCTAACAGATTACCAACCAAAATCTTACTAACTAAGTATTTTAGTTGGTAAATACGGCGGGAAAAAATGGCGCCAAATTTAGCAACATTCTATCAATGGATTACCAACTGAAATATTACTAACGCACACCTTTTGTTGGTAATATTACCAACGAAGCATATATCGGTTGGTAATTATGACAAAAAAATTGTTTATATAATTTATTAACATATTACCAATGAATTACTAACCAAACATTTACCAACGGCAAGATTGTGTTGCTAAATTTACCAACCAAATATAAATGTATTGGTAAATTAGTAACGCAATGTAATTTGTTGGTAAACTTGCCAACCAATATCCAATTAGTTGGAAATTTTGCCGACGAATAAAGATTGTAGTTAGTAAATTACTAACATCATTATAATAGTTGGTAATATACCAACCGATCATTAATCCATTGGTAAAATTTACCAGCATATTAATTATTAGTTGGTAATATTACATATGGATGTTTAGTTGAATAGTAACTATTACCAATTGTGATAAAATTTATAGATAAATTATTAATTACTAACTTATATTTGAATAGTTGGTAAATTTACCAATTGAAGTTAAATTTTTTGGTAAATCAACGTCTAATGTTTGAGGCTTTCATATTCAGTTTGTGTTGTTAGACGTTTTAACTTTTAAATTTTAGCCAAAACTTGACTTTGGTCAATATTTTATGTAAACATGCTCAGATTAGAACTCTGTCAGTGTCATTAGCTTCGAAAGGTCATTTTTGATCTAACAGGAAGGTTGGTTCAAGTTTTGAGGCTTCCGTTTTTTGTTTGTGCCGTTAGGTGTTTTAAATCTTATGTTTTTGGCCAAAATTTGACTTTGGTCAATATTTTTGTGAACATGCTCAGATGAGAATTCCATCAGCGTAATTAACTCCAAAGGTCATTTTTTATCTATTATGATGGTTGGTTCGGGTTTTGAGGCATTCATTTTTAGTGTGTGCCGTTAGGTGTTTTAACTTAAAAATTTTGGCCAAAATTTAACTTCGGTCAATATATTTGATAAGCATGCTCAAATAAGAATTTCGTCAGTGCAGTTAG